GGGTTGGGCTGGGTGACCCACAGAGGTCCCTGCCAACCCCAACCATTCTGTGATGCTGTGAAATGAGTGGTGCCACAGACCAAAGTCGTAAAGAGCTGAGCAAGTTACGATGGCGTAACACCGTATACAGCGGGCAAACGGTGAATAAAAATCAAATTTCTTGTTTTGAGTTTACAAGTATTTCCTCCTCTTTGGAGAAGGCCAGTGTATCGTTATGAGCCTAACGATGACAACACTCACTCTACAGAACGAGCCGTGTTACCCATCCCAGTACTGGCAAATCGAGCAGCAGCGCAGATGCGAGCACCACACTTTGCTACAAAATGGCCTGACAAAGGAATTCCAATAGCATCAGTAACCTAAGCACTCTGGGGGAAGGAAAATAAAAAAAGAAGAAAAAAATAAAAGGGAAAGGATACATAATTATGGAACACATATCTGATTAAGATATCAAAATTATTTGCAGACCAGCTTTCCCTAAGGTGAGAAACGGGGCAGAAAACCTCTATTTGCATAGCAGAGAAATAAGAATTGTTAATAGGCAGAAGTTTCACATGAGCATCGGTAACGACCTTCCTTTCTCTGGAGATCAGTGTGGCCTAACACACCCACCAGGGCTGCTGGCCCACAGAATTCCACCCGGTTTCCCTGTCAGCAGTGCTTGAGAAACGCACACGAACACCGACCAAATTTTTTTTCATCCCAGAGTCACAGAATACTCCCAGTCCGAGCTCTTTCAGGGCAATATGAACCATGGAGATGACAAAAGGATACTTCTCTGTATCCAAAATCTATCCGGACCCCGGAGCCTGCCCCAGGCCTGGGGAGCAGTTCAGTAAGTAAAAATTCAGTAAGGCAGGGAAATAATTTTAAACAAGTGACATGGAATCGTGGATATTGACACGATCGCAGAATCCAGCTGCGATAACTCTCGTTTCTCACCGCTTGTTACTGCGGATCTGCTCAAGGCTATGCCCCCTTTCCCAAGCCTCCTGCTCCACAGCAGAGCCGACCTAAGGGAGACTGCGACTGCTCCTCGTGTGTCACCGCCAGCTTCCTGCCACCCGCTGACACAGCGCCGAGGCTGACACGGGCAGCTTCAAGCTTTCCTCACGCCAGGCAAGCACCAGGGGAAGAAACCTCTGCCTGGGGATGGTGATAAGCCACCGGGGAGTGATGACGTCTCCAGCTGCTATAGCTACATCCATCTGCCCTATTACAAAATTATCTCCCAAGAAAAGGAGGGTCTTGGCCGTATTAATTCATGTTTTCCCAGTCCTAACTTGAAGGAACAGCAGAATCTTGCCCCTTCCCTGATATTCAGAGCAGCCTCTCTGCCATCCCCTTTTTCTCAGCTACTCACAAGTAAAAACCTTCTCAAAATGATTTGAAAGGAATTAATCATGCAAGGCAGCCAGTTCCTTTTCTCTGTGCCAAAGGAAGCTGGATGTGGAAGTTGGTGCCTCAGGTGCCTATGTTGTCGTGGAGACAGACAAAAATGTCCAAAGTTTAATTCAGATCCTAGGCGAATGACTTGCCCTCTGGAGGTGGCCACTTTTCTTCAGCAACCACAAGGGGAGTCTGGAGTGATCAGGCACCTCATTTAATCGTCTACATTTGGTGCTGTGAATCCAGATGAGAACACAGAACTCATTTGGACATGACACCTATACTCACCAGCGCACGCAGCACACTCTGCCAACGACGGACGAAATTATGGAAAAGCAGCAAGTGGGATCCTAGACCAGAATCACAGAGTGGTTGAGGTGGGAAGGGACCTACAGAGGTTGTCGAGACCAACCCCCTGCTCAGAGCAGGGTCAGCTACAGCAGGGTGCCCAGGACCATCTCCGGTCAGGTTTTGAGCACCTCTAAAGATGGAGACTCCACACCCTCTCTGGGGAATCTGTTCCTGTGTTTGACTACCCTCACAGCTTCTCATGTTTGAGATTAATTTCCTGTATTTCAGTTTGCACCCATTCCTCCTTGTCCTGTCACCACCAAGGAGATTCTGAGCACTCAGTACCTCCTCTATTCATTCTCTCAGGTAGTGACAGGACCAGCACTGCTCCATGTCCTGATCTATGTGGAGCAGTTCTACCTGGTGTGTAGCGTGTACTCGCTGTCCACCATTATTGCACAACAAGCTTCAGCAGAAAGGTTTAGACAGTTGTTACTGTTCTGCTGAGGAGCTGGACATACACAGGAAAGCAAAAAGGAAACGTAAAAAATCTTAAAGTAGCTCAAAAGCTGAAATTAAATACTCTTCTTCTGTACATCCAGTAAAATCCTGAGCCTTTTTTAGACTGAGAATGATTCTCTAGACAAGATGAGCAAGATTATAGGAAATATCACATACACCTTTTGAAGAATGATGTGAATCTCTAAATAAACAAAAGGAAAAACACTCAAAGACTAAATGGAATTCATGTAATTTCAGTCTCACAAAAAGACACACAACCATTCTGTCCAAGTGTCAGTTCTGCCTATTGACCGACAGTTTGAAGGAAGTCTGCACACAGCTCCTGGCAGAAGGGAAGCAAAGCTACTTCATACTGCAATTCCTGTCATGGTCTTTCACTACAAGACATTCCCTAGTCCAGTGATAACGTGACCAAGCCGTAGCACAGATGAGACAGATGTGAGGCACATTACTAGAGCTCCAGCCCAACCCAGGAACCATGTCAAGCTGAAGCTTGCCCAGAAGCTCCAGCCGTAGTTTCTGATGCGTCGGCTGGACCGCGTCGTGAGTCTGGCTCTCAAACGCAGCGCTGCGTCCTAATGCACGATAGCTCTAAAATGGTCATGGCAGCGAACTGCCTGGTTATATGTTTAACATATCAAGGATTTTTGGGGAAAAATCTGGAAAGACAGCCGTGATTGAAAAAGAAAAACTAATAAATTCAGTACCTCTATCACAGACAGTCTTCCTTCACCTAAAAAATTTCCTTTAAATCGTAAATATTTGTCTGGAAAATGGTCAACCTGCTTCCAGAAATGGGAGCTTTGACTGTGTTGCAACTCAAAGTTCAATAACAGATCAAGCTCCATTATTTTATCTGAAAGTTGCATATTTATCCTAGCCACAAGCATAACACTTTTGGTTGTTAAAAACAAAACAAGCAGGCAAGAAACATTGTTTTCCTTTCTTTTTGTTAGATTAGTCTAAATTAACTGCTTTTTGTAAAAAGTCAATTGTACGTTCATCCTCCCTCATCAACTTGGATACTTTAAACAAAAATATTTATTTTTTCTTAAAAAAAACATTCCTATTAAGAAACTAACAAAAAGACTTAACGTGTTTGATCAAAACTAGAAAGCATTTTAACCCAGTAAATGTCAAGGCAAGCCAATGAAACATTTTAAGTCAGCGTTGTGTTTTCCAAACCCTGGAAGTTAGTACCTTGCAAATTGCATCCTACAATCAGGTCCAGGCATAAACTTATTTTCCTGGAATATTTCATAAGGACGTTTAAACCTGAGAGCAGGTTAGCATATTGAAGGTTAGCAGATCAGTGTTTCATGCAAACTAAAACTCATAAATTGGCATAAGCAAGCAGACACTACTTTGCCTGTAAACATATAAATACTGTAATATCTCAGATATCTCTATGAAAAAATCCAAAACCTAAATATTATCCAATTTCACCTTCATGCAATAAGATCTAACAGGTCAGAAATGGTCGTGGCATTTTATAGTGCAATAAATGGGTCTTGGCATCCAGAACACTACATCTACCACTATGATCCCTGCGTTTTATCTCCTGACATATTTACTCTCTTAGCTGACTCTTCATGTGCTCCATTAGTTTCCTAATTGCACATATATATATATCTCTAAGTATCCACTTTATGCAGCTGAGATCTGCCTAATGAAGCTATAATTTGGGAGATTTAAATGCATAACATACCGTAGGTCACTTCAGCAATATTTTAAGCACTGTACTATAGAAGGGAATTTGGCTAATCACCATGTAGGTAACAGTGAGCAGCCAACTAGGAACTATGGCGGCCAAGAAAATTAAACCCAAGTTAATACTTTGACCTTGGCTCACACTACTGTTCCTTTTTAAATTTTATATCTTGGTAATGGCCTCAATTAATGCTGGAATGTCATCTGGATTTGCAACCTCAACGCTCATTCTCCTTCCTCTGATGGATCTCAGCCAGGACACTTTAACCATGCTTGACTGCAGTACCACGTAGGCTGTTGTGGTTCAGGAGAGATCCTATTTCTCTCCTAATGCGTTAGTTGTGTTGCAATAATAAAGTGAAAAAAGCCCGACAGTTTTAGAAATAGTTACAGCAAACAGTGGTGGCTCAAGGGACCGACGGCAGGAAGCCTGCAGCGGTTTGCCTACAGCAAACTCTCAGCCTCTGGTTTGTGGATGGCTGCACCAGCAGAAGCTCCAAGCTGTTGCTGCTACAAAGAGTCAGGATGAAAACAGCACAAATCACCAGCTGTTGCACCCATGGGCGATCAAAGCTGGCCACTGACTGACGAGAAAGTACCTCATTTTTTTAAAAACCCATGGTTACATGTCCCTCTTCTTTCTCCTTCCTAGCATCGGTGAACGCGCTTTTGAATTTCACTATCAAATACTCACATCATCCGCTGCATATGCCACTTCTTCTGAAATGTTTCTTTGCCTGCAAGGAAAAAAAAAAAAAGCCAACAGGGAGAAAAAGGTACTTTTCAAACCATAAATGTTCCATTTAGCTCAGGAAATTCAGTGCTCCAAATGTCTGCGAACCACACGTTGTCTGAAGAGGACCTTGCAGAATAGCCATTATTATTGTACCCCACACACGTACGTACTAACACCACAGTTAATTGTGAATAAAAAACCAAATTAAGGTGCAAACAAGCAAAATGATCTCTTTAAAAATAAATGTAGAGCAAACCCAATTAAGACTAATTCACATGCAAACCAGTCTATTATTTCGAGATTGTAACATGAGCTGGTAACAAGAGGCTTTCACTTTATGAGATGAAAGTGAAAACCACTCTTTTTTTAAGGTATTTGTCCCCAGTCCTGCATCCATTACTAGTCCAAAAACTGACTGGGATTGCTGAGGTGTATAAGTTCATTCATGTGTGTAAGTGCTTTGAGAATCAGTCTTTTGTTTTACAACTAAGTTTTATTTAAATTACTTTTTGATATATTAAGTAAAGTTAGTCTTAAGGACACTTTGCTTGGCCCAGTCCATCCTGTTTTACACCGCAATTCAGCACCTGATTGCACTATTCCACTCAGCAACAACAACCACAACTGGATTCCTTCCCAGGTACACCAAGCACAGGTTAACGCAGGTTTTCCCCCTTCAGGGCCCTTGAAATTTCTTGTCTGCTATTTCTGATGTTGTTTTAATTAAAAAATTCTAGATTTTTTTTAAAGTTTTGCCAAAAAATAATAAACTTTAAAACACTGAATGTACGCTTTCAGAATTACCAGCCAGCAAAAATAAAACACAGCCCCAAATCAGTTATTTACTGACAGGGCAAATGATAATGTTACGGGTTCTTAGCCACCCACCTGGTTTCCCCTTCTTCCTTTGTTTGTGCACGTTTCAATCCCCACCTTCTTTCTCGTTAGTCATCTATGGAGAATTCAGCTTGTTACAGCACATACTTGCATCTAATCCCTCTTTTCCTTTGGGATCTTGGAATGTTTTCACACTCCAGTTACACTAAGTGTATTATAAATGCGGGATGCAGAGCCAAATTATACTGAAATAGAATTACCGGTGTTTGGGCTGACAGCAAATCTGTTCTACAGCGTTCACAGAATCACAGAATCACAGAATCACAGAATAGTAGGGGTTGGAAGGGACCTCTGTGGGTCATCTAGTCCAACCCCCCTGCCGAAGCAGGGTCACCTACAGCAGGCTGCACAGGACCTTGTCCAGGCGGGTCTTGAATATCTCCAGAGAAGGAGACTCCACAACCTCCCTGGGCAGCCTGTTCCAGTGCTCCGTCACCCTCAGAGAGAAGAAGTTCCTCCTCATGTTCAGACGGAACTTCCTGTGCCTCAGTTTGTGCCCATTGCCCCTTGTCCTGTCACTGGGCACCACTGAAAAGAGCTTGGCCCCATCCTCCTGACCCCCACCCTTCAGATATTTGTAGGCATTTATAAGGTCCCCTCGCAGCCTTCTCTTCTTCAGGCGTTACAAAACAACTGCACTGCTGAGCCTGTTTCTCTGCCCACGACTTCTGACGGTTATTACACGACTGCATCCCAGAATTTGGATAGGATAGTGAATACGCCCTGAACTGCTTGCAGCTGTGTTTGTTACTTCTGCCAAGCCAGGGACGATCCCGGCTTGGCAAAACAGCTACAGCTTTCTGTTCAGGTGGACTCACTTTTAGACAAGGAGTGAGATGGGCTAAAGCCAATTTAGCAGAAGAAAGAAAAGCGAACCACAATTCATCTTTGTGATACCATCATCGTCTCCCCGCATGCACAGAACCCAGAAGAATCGAGAACACAGTTGTTCTCACGTACATATAACTGTTGTTTTCTCTGTATGCTAATTAGGAGTCAGCTAAGGTCTAACACAGCCAAACTAAATTACCTGTCTTGTGATACCGAATGTCCAGCAGCAGTATCAAAAGGTAGTAATGGTCGGATCCTGCAGTGGACTCTGATATTTCCTCTCAGTTCCTAGGGTGAGAATATTAAGGTGTATTTACCACAAACTACTGGAGAGGACAAATACACTGGAATTTGTGAAGCAGACACGAACGTGTTTAAGAAAGCAGGTGTTTGCAGCATCACAGCCTTAGACTCTGTGGAGGGAAAAATAATGTCAATATCGTTTGCCTTGAGAAGTTAGGAGAAAGTCCTTGAGGAAGTATGAGCTCTTCAGAGCTCTGGAAAGGTGTAGCCCTCTCCAGTCTAATATGGAAAAAACAGGCTTTCAGTTCTTGCCATTTTCCCCTGTTCAGTCTCCTTGCTCTTTACTGAGCTTCTTCAGACACCTGTGTCAACAGACAAGATGATTACACGCTCCACTTGTCTTCCACCAGCCCTGAGGACCATGTGGAATAGAAAACATTTTGTACCTTTTCCCCTCCACTGTGTGTTTACCCACAAGTAAGAAGCCAGTAACTGATTTTCCTCTGTAGGCTGTTTCAGACTTCAGTTTATCTAACCTGGTGGCTTTCCTTCCTTTTCGTTGGTGATCCACTCTTCCCGTTTTGTACCGGTGAAACCAGCTTGCCTGCGATGCCTAGTGACCCCTGGCATTAACCCCCACAGCCGTGGGGAACATCCTTTCAGCAAACCGCAGCACAAGGCAGAGTCTGAAAGGTAAGCACTTCTTAACAAAAAGCTTCATTTCCCCAGGTAGACAAACTTAAAAGAATTTTGTTTGAAGGTGGCTTCTGTTTCTAAAAATCAGGTCCTGAATCAGGCAGCTCAAAACCAGGCATTTGGGGGGCGGGGAGAAGAGTGAAGTTAAAGTGCAAAAAGGAAAAACTTCATCCCAAATGAACTATCACGGCTGAGCAGGATGCAGCTCGACATATTTGGAAAAATAAAAGACAACCATTCTGCACTTTCAAGTTGATCATTTTAAGAATTCTAAAACAATTTCAGAAGCTGTAAGTTTAGAGAAGAGGATGAAGAAACTCCAGTTTTGTCCGCTATTCAGAATGTTGATACTCCTTAGGGCAACAGGTTGCAGGAGTGCCTTTGGAAGATGTGTGTGCAAAAAAGAATGGGGTGGGGTTTGTCGCAAGACAAATGTGCCTCAGCAAAGGAATGCATCGAACATAGACAGCTGGGGGAGGTGATACATCCAGGAAAATTATATTCATTAGCTTTAATAGTTTTATTGGTGAGGAAATCATGGGCATAATTACTACCAAATAAGAAAATGCTCTGTCATTAAATATACTTACAACTAAGCTGTTATGGAGAGCTCTCCTCTTCTGCTTTTCTTTCTCATATCTCTCTGTCACCTCTTGTAGAGATTGCTCAAGATCAAATGCTTTTATCTGAAACACTAGAAGAAAGCTGTTTCAAAGAACTAAACTCGGTAACTTTACAAAATTAATTTTCCAGCAGCACGTCACAAAATATAAGCATAAACCTTTTTAACTTCTACCAAACTTTCATCAGGAGGGTTAGCTGCTGATTTACTAGACACCTCTGAAAAATCCCACGATACTTCTTGCTTTGCAATGGCTATGCGAAGTTACAGATAATTACCATAAGTGTTCATGTGAAATCTTGAAAAACAAGCAGAAAGACAAGATATACAAAGACAGTTCAAATGTGTTAGTTTAGTTAGTGATGTTACCTGTCAGCGAAGCCTGAAACCTAAACTTGAACGACCTGCTTCTGGATGGGGCCACCACTTGCAAGGCTCAGGCCATATTTGCAGATTATTCAAATCATGCCAAAAGTTAACCCATCATTTATCCTCAGCCTCATTAGTGCCACTAATCCTGTAAAACAGCTCAAAGGTTCCCCTTTCAGATCGGAGCCCTCGCTTGACAGGCAAGACCTCATAAAAAAGATTGCTCTTTCGAACCCCAGGGAGTCTCCTCCCCTTCACAAAGCTGAGGACAGCAACACGGGTCATTATAAAAGCCTCCTAACTTCACAAACGGTTTTATTTCAGCCCAATTCCATCAACACTGAGCAGGCCCAAACCAAACACGCAGCCCAGAAGACATAATGTGACTTTAACTTGTGTACAAAGTAAGCTTTTAGGAACCTCGGTGCGATATCAGTCTCCCCGGAAATTAGAGAGAGGTTTGAAGACGTCGAGCAGCACGCAGTGAAAACCACGGTCTGAGCGCTGAGCAGCAGGATGGCCACCAGCCTCGGTACGTGCTACCTTAGAAAGGAAAAGACTCAAAATCTCAGCATGTCACACACGTGATTTACATTCGCTGGTACAGACTAAAAACCAGATGACTTCAAGGGACATTTGTCTCCACTAGAGATTTCTCAGATCTTATTTTCGTAATGCCCACACTATTCAGCCCCTGCTCGTAACGTTCCTCCACAAGTGCATGCATGCAGGGGAAACGTGATGTTAACAGCTGAGGAATAAAAGTGTAGCACTTTCACTAAGAAAAACCCTTTTCTTGCATCTCATATGAGGAGTAACACTAGCGTGTCTTGGTTTGGAGAATCACGTGCAAATACATTACAATAAATTGTCAAAAGTGCCTCCTACATTCCCTGACCGCTAATCTTACAGTATTTGTCAAAATAAGAGGTTGGAAGCCAGTAATTAGTTAAGTAATCCCCATAATAAGTATCTTAATTCATAAATTTGTGTACACACAAACTTTCAGTTCATGAAGTCTCTCGAATAAGCAGTAAAGTTAAGCAACGGGTGTTAAGGGTACTCTTCCATTCTTCCAGTCTTGGAAGAAAAAACAAAAAATTGCTAGTTTGTTTCAATATTTAAGTGGTCTCTTCTTGAAGACTGTGAGAAGCCTGCTGGGCACTTTCAGTTAACTTAGACCCTAATTACTCAATGTATTTTTTTTCTAACTAGCCCTTCTATGGTGAAGACGCCTGTGAAAACAGGGATCAGCCTTGGGGCTTCCCAACGTGACACCTGGGCTTTTGAGCAGGCGGCTGAAGGCTGCGATCTGCAGAAAATGAGTCAGGCTGGTGCATTTAGCAGACGAAGCTTTGGTATTTCTAAGAGTGAGCCATCAGTTCTAATGTCCATCTCCTGTAAAGCTTTATGTGCAGCACAGAAAATCTTCTTGAATAGAAGCTCCACAGAGCAGGTTTCCTAATGCATCATTTATTTCTGAACTGATTTTTCTGAAAGTGGAGCTATATAGTTACAAATACAAACATTTATTTAACATTTTCCTAGTTCTCTGCTTGGCATCAGCTGCAAGCTACTCAGAAGTTACATTTTCATCCATAACCTAGGGGCAGCCAGCTCGTGCATCTGTTTTAAAGTACTAAAAACCCACTCTTCATTACTCCAGAGCAGCAGCCGCTACACAGAATAACAGAATCACAGAAAATGTGAGGGCACCTCTGGGGGCCCCCCAGTCCAACCCCTGCCGAAGCAGGGTCACCCAGAGCAGGCTGCACAGGACCTTGTCCAGGTGGGTCTTGAATATCTCCAGAGAAGGAGACTCCACAGCCTCCCTGGGCAGCCTGGGCCAGGGCTCCGTCACCCTCAGAGGGAAGAAGTTCTTCCTCATGTTCAGATGGAACTTCCTGTGCCTCAGTTTGTGCCCATTGCCCCTTGTCCTGTCACTGGGCACCACTGAAAAGAGCTTGGCCCCATCCTCCTGACACCCACCCTTCAGATATTTGTAGGCATTTCTAAAGGTCCCCTCTCAGCCTTCTCTTCTTCAGGCTGAACAAGCCCAGCTCCCTCAGCCTCTCCTCGTAGGGGAGATGCTCCAGTCCCCTCACCATCCTCGTAGCCCTCCGCTGGACGCCTGCAGCCGTTACAGACATCCCTTTCCCTCGTGCTTTGCCCATCTCATCAACCCACACAGAAACTTTCTGGGAGCTGGGAATGCTGATTCTTCTGTTTAAACATCACTGAGCACAGTTCAGGTTTTCATCGACAATCAGACAAACAGTTGTAGAAGAGTGGTGGCTTGCGACACCTGGCAGTCCTGGTTAGGGAGCTTTTCATTCCCTCCCGTTCAGCACTGCACGGGACCTCCTGCTGCGCTCGCACAACCGCTTCCCCAGTCACGTGGAGGTCTAAAAGCAATCCTTGCTGAGTCATTTCTGGCCTGGATCAGCTCCCTGACCCGCTTTGTGCGCGGCCACGCAAACAGTCACACCAGCATAACGGAAAGGAACATGAACAACAGGAGCGGCATAACCTAGCACAGGTAAGGATGCGTAGCTGGGGGTTTTGATGTTTCTTTCCACAACAGATTCCAGTTTAAAAAAGGAGGTCAGTCTGACCATGCCTTCCAGCATAAGCAGCTATGCTGTAATAGACTTCATTCCAAAACTTCTTTTGAATTCAGCTGTGGTTTATATCCGGGGCTGTAACGCTACTCTGGGCTGCTGCAATATTTCTGTTGCTGGATCCAAGGTCCCTCTCCTCCTTCCCCACTCTGTGCTAAGAAGGAAAGGCTTTCCCAAGGCAGCTGAGCTGGTGAGACTCTGCTGTTGAGTTATGGGTAAAAGATCACAGTAGCTCACATTCCAAAAACACAAGTCATCAGCACAGTGCAGCTTTATCCAAGAGGAGCGCAGCATGCAGGTGACAGCATACGGGCAAAAGGTGAAATAATAATCTCCTTAGACAATTTTTCCTCTTCTCCAGCCCACAGAGAAAGTGTCCTGGAGGATATCTAAGTCACTGGGCTGCAGCAGCTTTCACAAGATGTGTTGGCAACCTGCAGCAACTCCTCTGCCATGTACCCACTTGCGTGGGTTTTGCTCCTCAGTACCCACGGCTTTGCCAAGCGGCGAGAACAGCCGTTCCCCCTCTGACAGTATGTTCTGCACACACAGACACTGTTGTTTCCTCCTTCTGATAATGCCTGCGTGGTGAAGCTGTCTAAAAAGTCATCTTAAATTTTTAGAAATTCCTACCCTTCCAGAAATCTGCTGAATTACTGCACCTGCCTCAGGAGTATCATTTGCAGTCAGGTGGCCAGTATTTTTTGCTAAAATGACAGCCACTTTGTTTATGAGGGAAACAAGCTTGTAGCAAAAGAATAATGGGCACTTGTCTCTCTGCTATGAATTACTACTATTTAAATTTCAGTGGGAAAGATGGCAATAGCCTGGTTTTCAGACTGTGAATAGGTATTACTAAGCAAGGGACCACTCGGTGATTACAGGAAAGTTTTATCGTTTCCTGCGTGTCAGCTACAGCCTTGAGATTAACCTACTGGAATGCTTCTTCTGTAATTCTCTCCCTCATTTTCAGTCTCTATTTTAGGATTAAATTGATAATATATATTGTCTCCAGAATACGTACTTTGGGCTTTCTGTTTACAAAAGATTATATGTAATTTAAGGATGGCAATTCTGACTGTCATATTTAACCTCAACACCAGAATCTCCACCTAAAAAATTTGACAGAGGACTGAAAAATGGCCAAATTAACAACCTAAGCCATCCACCTAAGTACCAACACACTATTCTGTTACAGGCAAGGAAGCTTCTCCTGGTTATGATTCCATAAAACGATGCACCACAAAGTGCAAACTGAGAACAGTCAATAGGAATCTGCAAGGCCTCATAAGGAATACTTACTCTTTATTTACACCACAACAGCTCAAGTGCCAAATCCAACCTCCTACCTGTCCATTTAGGCCCCAGCTTCAGTAAGGGAAACATTCACCTTTATCTAGGGTTAATTTTCCACTTGGCTTTTTTCCATTTTAAAGACAAATTGATGAAGCATTTTCTCTACCAGTAATCAAATCAATTTTAATCATAACTTAGTACATAACATACAGGGATAAGTTCTGCAAACACCAATCACCAAGAATGCTGTTTGTTGCTATTGACACGAGTAGTCCCAGAATCAAATCAGTCCCAAAATTAAATATTTCAGCCAAAAAGCAAAGCACTATAAAAATGTACATTTTTAAGTGGAAACACACGGCTATAAGAGCATCACCCAGGGACTCTGATTATAAATTTGTGTATTTGTTTTTAGCTCACCAGGCTGCTAAGCTTCAGGCAATTTAAGCTGCGTACGTGCCATGTGCTTCTCAGGCCTGGTAGGAGCTCCACCAGCACCAAGGAGATCGAACACAGGTGCAGAGATCCACACCAAGATTAATCTCTGAAATCACCTGAGTCCTCTTCTGGTGCAGTCAAAACCAGACAGAATTCAGCTAAAGCACCACATTCTTTATTCAGCTGCTCTAAGCCAGTCAAGATAACAAGCCTGAGAACTCCACATTCAAAATGTCAGCTTGGCAGCAGCCTAGAAGCAGCTGCAACCAACACAAAAGCTAAACCCAAAGTATCAGTCATCACCTCTGCAGAGTTATCTGTACTCTTTCTAACGCTTCAGAACTCCTTGATGATCTAATGCCAAACGAAAACCAAGTGCTACAATTTCAGTGACACGTTTCTCCCAAATCAGACTCAACCTCTGAATGTCTGTAACGTTTAACACCGACATGGATGATGTTCCATGTCTGCAATGGAAGTGCGACGAGCCTTACTTTGCGTTGCTTCATTTTGCAGCTGTATCCCTTGGACTGCTGTCAAAACTTGGTGAAGGTAAGCCTGGCTTTGACGCTGAAAGTCTTCTGAAAGCTCAAGAGCAAATGAATGGAGGCTCCTCAGGTCTTGCTTCAGCCTCTTCTCAGCAAGAATAAAAAAATCCATTATAAAGAAGTTAAGGAAGAATCAATACATTAACACCACAAATAATTACAGTGACGTATCACAGTCAGGAAGAACCCTCTGCTTGGGGAAAGGAAGCCTTCAGGAGTATATCTTGCAGCAAGTTTAGAGAAGGATCCTGCAAGATGCTTAGCAGTGTCATCTCCTAAAGACTTCAGCAGGTCTTTATGGATCCTTACTGTCTTATGGTACATATTTCGACCATAACACAACTTCAGGTATAACAAAGTCTCTTTCTTATTTCATTAAATAAAAATCTGTGTGTGTGAGCATCTGTGTACTCTGTCCACTTAGAAGACATATCCAGAATCAGCAATGAAACACTGTGATCCACATATCCCTTACTGCCTTCACTTTCCACCCTTTGATCAGGAGGTATTTGCTAAGCTTCACCCTAAGTAATTTCTTAAATAAGCCAGTTCTATGCCTTCCTGTGAGAACAGACGTATTTTGAAAATATCAGAAACCTTTATTGTTCTGAAAAGTATTTGTACCATGGATATAACTCACCGTAACGTACATGAGACCTTTAAACGTTCGTAAGAGCAGCTTACGTTCACTTAAAAGTCCAAATAAAGTAAAAACAAATTGACCTGATTTTAGGACTAGTAGACTTCTTCACATCTAAGTCTTCGAATAAACATGTAAAGCCATCTGTAAGATGAACCTTATTTCACAGAAGCACTGAGATGTTTCGTTAGTCAGCCTGCTACAAAACAACACATATTCTGTGACATTTTATTTTTCCAACTGTGCTACTGACCTTGAGTAAATCGACTAGTTTCAGTGACAAAACAATAACCTAAAGGGAGAAAAATCACTGCATTCTGCATTCCTCACTCTCCAAAGCCACAAAATGTAACTGGGAAGAAATTTTTTTTTTTTTTTTCATACAGGTATAGTATTACCATCAATCTTGGCTTTTATTTGGAGACCTTTGCTCTCTCCTAATATTCACTGATCTGTGATAGTAAACAATCTCACTCCATTGGTATTGCACCACAAGCAGTCCTGTCATTCTAGCTAACCTAAAACGTAAAAGGCCACCACAAAATCCGCTGAGCAGAATGGCTGTAAGCAGAACAGAACAGAGTAGCTCAGTTGGAAGGGACCTACAATGATCATCTAATCCAACTATGCTACAATTTAGCTACATCCTTCTGCCTGTTAAGAATCAGATTTCTTTTCTGAGATACTTTCTGGTCATTTTATGCAGGCATTCAGTGCTGCCCTGAGAAAAGCTGACATTTGTTTGTGTCCCAGAAAGGAACTCGCTATTCTATGGAGTAACTCACGGAGTAAGTAATTCAACAAAGGAAAATATTATGGCACTGTACTGGAAGAACAGTTCTAGCTGCTTTGAAGCAAAATTAAGACAACCTGAGTGAGCAGAAAGCAAACTACTCCCTCTTGTGAGGTCCACCAGAGCAGAACTTGTAGCGAAACCAATGCTTTTTTACAGGATCTGCCTGTCTAGTTAAAGCCTATCACAATTACTGCTCTTTGGGGGATGTCCACATGACAATCAAATCAAGGGTTGCAAGGTTTTGATTACAAAACCATCCAGCTCTGGTCCTGATGGCAGCCTGTACGTAAGGTCCTGGAGCTCAGGAGCAGCTGCTTTTACCTGCTTCTCAGGTGACTCTGCAGCCTGTTGCAGCAAAACCACTAAATTTTAAGCTAACTCAGGCATTGCTACACTTCACTGCAAGCACTGCTGTGATTACAATAAAGCCACAGACCAGGTTCATATCTGACCGTCTTCTGGGTTTTACTGTTATATGTTTATAGGCATGTGAAGGTTCAGGGCATAGATTATGCTTACGTTTGGGCTTGTTCAGCCTGAAGAAGAGAAGGCTGAGAGGGGACCTTATAAATGCCTACAAATATCTGAAGGGTGGGGGTCAGGAGGATGGGGCCAAGCTCTTTTCAGTGGTGCCCAGTGACAGGACAAGGGGCAATGGGCACAAACTGAGGCACAGGAAGTTCCGTCTGAACATGAGGAGGAACTTCTTCCCTCTGAGGGTGACGGAGCCCTGGAACAGGCTGCCCAGGGAGGTTGTGGAGTCTCCTTCTCTGGAGATATTCAAGACCCGCCTGGACACAGTCCCGTGCACGCTGCCGTAGGTGACCCTGCTTCGGC